GTCCAGGTGGTTGAGTATCAGATTGTTCCATCTCATTTCCCTTTGGGGCTGCCTTAGGTGATCTGGAAGTCTGTTTTTGAGGCTTGTTTACATGTCTTCTCATTTCCACCGGGGGGTTGGGGTGCTGCTGGTGCCCTTGTGGCTCACCTCCTCTGCCCTAGGAGCGGTGGAATGGTGGCCTCCAGTACCATATTGACTAGAAGTGGTGAGAGCAGGCATTCTTGCCTTGTTCATGATTTTAGCAAAAAAACTTTCAGTTTTTCATTGTAGAGCATGACACTAGTTGTGAAATTTTCCTATATGATCTTTATTACATTGACGTAATTTTCTTCTATTCTTAGTTTTTTTTAGTGTTTTTGTCATGAAAGGGTGTTCAATTTGATTTATCAAATGATTTTTCTGCATTAGTTGATATGATCATGTGTTTTTTGTCCTCTGTTCTGTTATTGTGGTGATCACACTGATTTCCACACGTTGAACCATCCTTGCTTTCTAGAAATAACTCCTCTTTCATTTTGGTGTATCACCCTCTTACTGTGCCATTGATTTGTTGGTATTTTGTCAATGAATTTTGCATTAATATATATATATATTTTTGGTACCGGGGATCAAACTCGGGTCCTTGCGCTTGTGTAGTAGGCGGCGAAACCACTGAGCTAAATCCCCGGCTTTTGCATTAATATTCATCAGTGATTTAGTCTATAAATCTTTGTTGTATCTTTGACTTTGGTATCAGAGTAATGGCCTCAGATTAAAGTCACCTTACTAGTTATTAGTTCTTGCATTTCTATTCCTTTATGGTTCAGAATTAGGGGAGGTCTTATGGCTTTGAGGGCATGAGGTATTTCTGTTATGACCCCTTCAGTTGTTCTTAGGAGAAAGCTGTTCTGAAAGGAGCAAGCTTGTGTTCCTCTCCTGTTTGAGATGTGTCTGCTTTGACATGAGCATCTGCAGCATGCACTGCCGTCTGCGGCTCTCCCCAGGTGCCAAACATGGGCTTCCTTCTCCTGATTTTAAACTTTGGATCTCCAAAATGTGAGCTAAGTGAACCTTTCCTCTTTATAAAATTAGCTGCTGGCAGGTATTTCATCATAGTCAGAAAAAGCTGACTGATACAATGTCTGTCAGATCCAATTGGTCTACAGCGTGGTTCAACTTCTCTGTTTTCTTATTGATTTTCTGTCTCTCATAGGTTTGTGTATTTTAAATACACATTTAGATTTCATCAAACACACATTTAAAACAGTGCCTTAATAGTTTTATTTATTTATTTTATTTATTCATTAATTTTTTTGTATAGGGGATCGAACTGAGGACCTTGTGCTTGCCAGGCAAGCACAGTGCCACTGAGCTAAATCCCCAGCTCTGCTTTAATAGTTTCATTTCAAAATGTTGCAGTATCTAAAACACTTTAGAAATTATACTCTTTGGGGCTGTGGATTTAGCTTGGTGGTTCTCCTGCCTGCCTTGCAAGTGCAAGTCCCTAGTTTGATCCCCGGGACCAAAAAAAAGGAAAAAAAAAAAAGAAATTATACTCCTTGTAATGATTTAAAACTGATGAAAAATCTTAGCAGTCAACTTGAAAAATGTGCAAAGCATTACATAGTTTTAAAAAATTCCCTTTGGGAGCACAGAAACAAATCTTATGAAGCCAGAGTTCACAGAGTGGCAGGGTCACTGCAATACAGGATGGGTGCTACCTTGGAAAGTTTCCTGGAGGAGGAATGAGTTGACTTGAAACAGAAAGCAGTGGTGAGGCAGGCCTAGGGGATGACAGGAAGGAGAGGGACACAGCTCTGCTTGGAAGACAGAGCGAGGTGATGGTAGCTGTCAAGGCTATGGAGTGGGAGAGAGGTGGATCCTTGCGTTGTTAGCATTCCATTCCTGTTTCAAAATACCTGAGATAGTTAACTTACAAAGGGGAAAGTTTCACTTTGGCTCACAGTTTGCAAGGGTGCAGTTCATGGTTGGCAGCTTCATTGTTTTGGGCCCGTGATGAGGCAGCACTGCATGGAGTGCACATGGCAGAGCAAAGCTGTTCAGCTGCTGGGTGTGGTGGCGCACACGGCACACTGGCAATATCAGCTACTCTGGAGGCTGAGACAGGAGGACCAAAAGTTCAAAGCTAACCTAGGTAACTTAGCAAGGCCTGTCTAAATAAATGAGTAAATAAATAAATTTTTTAAAAGGACTGAAAAGGCTGGGGATGTATTTCAATGGTAGAGGGTCCTTGGGTTCAGAGCGTGGTCCTGAAACAGAACAAAAAAATCTTGTTCAATTCATGGGCAGGACCTGAAGGGGAGAAAGAGCAAGGGCCTGAAGTCCTGCAATCCCCACTGAAGGCGTGGCTAACCTTCCCCTAGGCTCCACCTCTCAAAGCTTCCCCCACACTGGAGACACATTGGTCTTTGGGGAGCATTCTAGGTCCAAACCGCCGTGACCCTTGAGGCCCCAGGCATGGGATCTCATGGGAATCCCAGAGGCCGTTCAGGACAGAGCTGCCCTTCTTGCCTTTCCCTGCCAGCAGCCAGCTCCTCAGTCACTTTCCACTTTCCCACCCACTCGCCCCTGTCCCCACTCGGCATTCCCAGCTTTCCTTCCAAAAGGAGCAGGAAACCGGTGGTAGGGCAAGAGTCTCCTAGGAGGAGTGAGGGACAGGTCGACCCCTCCTACCCCGGAGATGAAGGGCTGGATTCTTTCCCAGGGTAGGAGCCCAGCTTTTTTACCTCACCAAGACTTTAGCACAGCGGGTGAAAGAGGGGTGCGTGTGTGCAACCGCAGTAAGAAACCTGTTGCTGGGGCATTTTTGAAACTTGGTGGGGGTTGGAGAATTTTAATGGCAGTCAGGGCTTCAGCAGCAGGGCCTGGAGCCAGAGAAGTCCCAGAGGAGCAAAGACCAGCCCAGACAGGGTCAAGTGGCTCAGCCGGAGGCTTCCCTGGGGACTGCTGGGTGAGAGAGGGCAGAACTAGAGAGGGCTGCAGCCGGCTGCTTTGCGCGCTGTTCTCTGGCCTAGGTCTGGCGTCTCACACTGGCCTGGCCAATCCACTTGGGTGGGAGGTGGGAGGGACCTGGAAATCCAGCCATAGACTTGTTAGTTTTTAGGGTGACAACCGGACTTCTTGGTTACACGAGGGTGAAGAACCAGAAACCAAGCCGAGCATGTTGGCACACACCTGTAACCCCAGTGCTCTGGAAGGCTGAGGCAGGAGAATCACAAGTTTTAGTCCAACCTTGGTAAATATATATATGAGCTGGAGATGTGACTCAGTGTGTAGGCCCTGGCTCCAATTTCATTGCCTGTGAACAAAACCCAAAGCCATCTGTGTCAGCTTCTGTGCTCCCTATAAATTTGGCTTTGTTTTCTGATTACGCTGCTAGTACATCTCTTTAAAAAGAACCAAATGAGGCTGGAGAGGTGCCGCACCCCTGTAATCTTGGCATGCGGGGCCAGGAGGATGGCTGTGAGTTTGAGGCAGCCTGGGCTATGCCGTAAGTTCAAGGCCAGACCCAGTCTAAAAAACCCACCCCCCCAAAAAAAACACTCCTTTCTGGTGTCCAATGGTAAACGTTTGTTAAACTCACTTTCACATTCAGGGCTGCTCAGCTCCTGTGACAGGCCTGTAGTCAGGAGTCGGCCCCTGCTTCTCGGCTGACCATAGCAGGGCTCAGAGATGTGACACTATTTCCTAAGCACTCACGGCTGGAGGCCGGGAGACCCATGCCTCAGACCCCCGCCTTTGCTACTGCGTAGACTGCTCAAAGAGCAGGGGCCCTTGTCCACGCAAGGAGGGCCAAGAGTGTCCCCGCAGGCCCTGCAGGGCGGCCGTGGTGCTTTGCTGCAGACTTCTTCATTCCGTAAGGTGTTCCAGATCACCAGCGGCTGCAACACAAAAAGCCAGAGGTGTTTCTTGATTTTATGAGGCTCACAGTTTAAAGGAGAAGACAGCAAATAGCCCCCAGATCACACAAACAGGTGGATGATCAGAGACTGGGATAACCCACACAAGAGCCCATCTGTTGGACTTTTCAACAGAGCAACCTGGCAGCCTTGATGTACCTTTGTGGAAGGGGGCTGGGGGGGAGTGTGAAGAGGGCCTGACATGGGAGCTGCACTGTGGGAAAGCGGGCAGCCCTTGGGGACGGAGGGCGTCTGACGGACCTGAGAGAGGAAGGTGTCTGTCTGGCTTGTGCGCCCAGAATGGTGGTGTCATGACTGGCCCAGGCAACCCTGCCAGAGCCCACATTTCCTCCTCTCACTGGGGAGTGGGTATGTAGGTATCGAGCCAATCTTAGTCCTGTAGTGGTGTCACAGAATAAGATGTCCATGCGCTCCTGGAGACCAGAGGGAGGGCTGGCACGGCAGCTGGGGAGTCGGCGTTTCGATGCCACCCCAGGCGCTGGACATGGAGAGGCTCACGGGGAAACCGAGCTTGGAGAGTGGAGCCAAGGGGGTGGGTCTGGAAGGCGTCTCCAGCGTCCCTGTCAAAGACCAAGCCCTGCCCGCTCCTCCGTCTTGAACCTGCGTGTGGTCCTCCTCAGGGGCAGCTCCTGGAGCCACCCTTGCCACTGTGTGTCTCGCCCCACACCGCGCCTCACTTCCAGTCTCTCCACTCCCATGTTGATCAGAGTCATGGCCACCCATCACTTACACTTTCAAATTAATTTTTACATTACTTCTCAGCATCTCCCTTTGTCCTTTGAAAAGATGCTATGCTACATGACAGCCTTACACACCATCCAGCAGCCACGGTAGTTATTTATTTATTTATTTTTTGGTACCCGGGATCGAACTCGGGACGTTGTGCTTGCCAGGCAGGTGGCGGAACCACTGGGCTGCATCCCCGGCCCCCACCGGTAGTTATTTTCTACATGCACAGCAGACCATGTCCCTTCTCAGCTCAGTCTCCCAGTGGCTCCCTGTTTCTCTCAGAGCGGAAGCCAAATCTTTCCGGGCTCCGAGGTCCCCGGCAGCTCCCCGACGTCCCCACGTAGGCCTCCCCCTCGCTCGGCCTCCCGGCCTGTGCAGGTCCCTTCCTCAGCAGTGGCTCCGCTGCCTCGTCCCCCTGACCTCCGTGGAGCCGCTCCTCGCCTCAGCCTGTGCTCACATGTCGCTCAGGTGTCAGCCTCAGTGCAGGGCGAGCGTCGACCACTCTGTCCAAAGCAGAGCTTTGCTGAGCCAGTGGAGGAGTGCGGGAGGCTCGAGACGGCACTTACAGCCTCTAGAACACAGTGCGCTTTACCAGTCTGGTTTTCCTTCCTACAACACGAGCTTCGTGGAGGAGATTTCACTTGGTGTTTTCGAGCATGCTCAGTATTTGTTGAGTGATGAACTTACACACAGATGCCCTGGAATCTGAAACTTACCACTTGTAGAAACGAACTCCTGGTTTCACCTCTAAATCTCGGCTCCTGCTCCCTACTTTCTTTGCTGTCTTAGCCACGACGCGCCCAGCTGCTCCGTGGGGAGTCTTAGCCCGGGGTGGTGGCGCAGGCTGGCACCTCTCAGAGGCCGAGATAGGAATATTGTGCATTTGAGCCCAGCCTGGCAAAGATGCTCTTGACTTAGCGAGGCCCTGTCTCAAAACAAAAAAGAACTTAGTGTGCAGGCCCTGGGTTCAATTCCCAGTACTGAAAAAAACCAATCCTAGGAGTTTTTCTGGGTTTTTCCTTATCCCTCATTCTCCATGTCTGGTTGATCAGCAAATTCTGTTGATTCTACCTCAAAACATAAAGCTCAGATCTGCTTCTTTTCCTGTCCAGTGGCCCTCACCCACTTCACATCACCAACTGTGCCAGTGTAAGAGCAGCCCCCTGGCCTCCAAACGGCTCGCTGCAATCTGTCTTCAGGAAAACTGCCAAGGTTCTCCTTTCTGCTTCTTTTTTGCAATGTCTGTGGCCCATACCCATTAGCAGCAACAACATATTAGGCAATGCAGCAAAGTACAGAGAAGAAAGAGAAAAAGACGACTAGTGCGCCACCCAGAAAGAAGCATTATTATTTGGTGAACATCATTTTGAGATCTCTCTGTGAGTATACAGTAGATTCTCCATAGATGAGGGTTCCATATCCTTGGATTCGGCTAATCAACTATGGATCGAAAATATAAATTTTTTTTGAGGCAGCATCTTGCTTTGTAGCCCAGGCTGGCCTTGAATTCAAGGTGATCCTCCTGCCTCAGCCTCTCGAGTGTTGGGATCACAACCGTGCACTACCATGCCTGGCCAAAAAGTTTTTGTCTGCATTGATCGGGTACAGATGTTCCCTCCTCTTGTCATTATTCCCTGAACAATGCAGTATAATTGGTGTTTACATGGAATTTGTGTTGCATTATTACACGTGATCTAGTGACTGACAAAGTATATGGGAAGAGACGCGTAGGTGATATGCAAATTTGATGCTGGGTCATAAAAGGCACTTCAGCATCCACAGATTTTGGTACCTCAAGGGGTCCTGGACCCTCCCAGGTCAGAGATGGCTACAGAGAGCTAGGCAGACTGAGAGGCTTACAGAAAAGAGTCACACGCGTGGGACCACAGTACCTGTTACTTATTAAACAAATACTATTTGAATTTTATTGGAATTTATCCAAAGGGAAAATGAGCAAATTACTGACCTTCAGATTTTTTTCATCATGAGAAATATCAATCCCTAAAAGATCCTACAGATAAAAACCAATTCCCAGCTGGGTGGTGGCACACGCCTGTGACGTCAGCACTTGGGAGGCTGAGACAGGCTTCAGGTGCACCATGAGTCTGAAGCCAGCCCGGACTGCATAGCGAGACCCTGTCTCAAAAAACAAAAAGAAAAAAACACAATTTCTTACCATGTTTCCATTTCAGACAATTACCTGCGGACTCCCCCCGGAGAATGAGGGAAACGGCACCTTCACTTACCCCACTTTCCCTCCCTCAATCTCCCTACTTCTGACAGTTACACTACTTAATTTTACCATGTTGGTGTAAGCACAGTTTGTGTTCTGTTTTGTAGCTGTGAGCCCCACGTACCCGAGCCTTAGTTCTCTGAATTCAGCGTTCACCTCAGAACTCTTAGTGCCGCTGCTTCACTCTGGCCTCCTTTATTGGATTCATTACTTGGTCAGTTGGATTTCAAAGGGCTTCTGGCTCGTGTATTCCCTGAGTTCTTTCAGCTTCGCATGGCGGTTGCTGGGGAGGGAATACAATGCTTGGGCCTCCTTCTTTCTCTGCAAGCCCAGCAGACATTTCTCCACTTCTGCATGTCATGGGAAAATCGCAGGTTAACTGCATTTTTCTCTTATATGCAACTTGTTTTCTCCTTATGGATGCTTTCTCTTTCTTAAATTCTTCATTTGTTTGTTTGTTTTCCAGTACTGGGGATCAAACTCAGGACCTTTGCTTGTGAGGCAGGTGTGCTGCCACTGAGCTAAATCCCCGGCCCTCCTTTTTTTTCTTTCTGAGACAGGGTCTTGCTGTGTAGCCCAGGCTGGCCTTGAGCTCACATCGATCCTCCTGCCTCAGCCTCCCGAGTGCTGGGACTACAGGAGAGGGCCGCCACGCTTGGGTTTTGCCAACATCCAAATATCTGCTTTCTTGAATTTGAATATTTTTCTGCATTTGTTTCAGATTCCTTAAAATAAATAAATAAAAGTTACAGATTCAATTAAAAGGCTCTGTGTTCAATCCAGCACTGTACTTAGCCTTTCCACAGCTGTTGCCATATCCTGAATTATGTGTTTCTGATTCCTTTAATTAATCACTTTTCCTGGGCCTGGCGGCATCCATCTGTAATCCCAGCTACTCAGGAGGCTGAGTCACGAGGCTCAAAAGTTCAAAGTCTACTGGGGGACCCGCCAGGCCCCACCGCAGGCAGGCACCACAAAGGGTAAAAGACAAATACAAGTTTCCAGATAAAGGGGGCTGGGGGGTCAGTGCCTCAGGTGGGCAAAGAGAGACTTCCCGAGCCTGCCACTGTTTATTGAGTCCACACAGGCAACCGGAGGGGTGGGGGTGACTCGGAACAGCAGAGGCTGGGAAAGGAACAAAGCCTTCCTGTGAGAGCGGAGTGTAAGTGAGTAGGGAGCCTGAGCCTCCCCAGACTGGGACTGCAACTTCTACCGCACTGTTTGAAGAGCCAGGGCCTCAGGATTGAGAAGTTATCTTCCCTGTGAGCCTCAGCTCCGGAGTGGAATCTCCACATACCAACCGGCCGCCAGGGCAGAGTACGGCCTAGCCTCAGATCAGATTGTGGCCCTGGCAGCCCCTCTTCTGTTTATTTGATTGCAGAAATTGGATGGGGCGGGCTATGGTTGTAGGGCCTCTAGGCATCCGTTGGTTTGAGTTCCTCTGTACACGTTGAAATTCTGCTAGTGCTATTTTGTCTAACAAGCAAGACAATAGTGCTGGAAGCAGGGTTTGTATCATAACCTGTCCATTTTTCTCCAACAAAGTAAGGTAGGGCAAGTTTCCCAATAGTCGATTGTGTAGGTCCGGGTTCACCATCACTAACGGCCTGTGGTACGGGCGGCCAAACCCCGAGCCCTCCCCAGTGAGCTGTGCTTCAAGGGTCTGCTCAGCTGATGCGCTGATGCTGTCCCAGAGGCACTGTGTCCCACCGAGGCACTATCAGCCCCTCCTCGCAGCATCCCCTGAGGTCCCCAATCAGTAAATTCATACGGTCCCATAAGCATCTCTTGTCCCCCTTTTCCTTTATAGATATCCGGGGGGGCACCTTCTGCATGATTTTTGCAACTTATATGAACCTTGCAGCCAAGAGGATCTTCTTGATTAGATGAATCATCTTGGAGCTTGCACTGTCTCAGCATCTCACTCCAAAAGCCGTTTTCTCACGGAAGCAGGGGCCACCGAACTGCTGCTGCTGCTGGGCTGGTTTCCGGGAGGCTCTTGCTAGGAGATGCCAGGCCTTGACATTTCAGCATCACTCTCTCCACTGAAGTCCCAGGGGCGGCATGGCCCAGCTCCGCCTGGTGTGCAGCCACAGCCGTGCCAGCTGCAGGCGTTGCCAGAGAGCAGTGGCAGGCGAGCCCAATGCAGACGGTGGGGCTGCTGCTGGGGCCGAGCAGGCACAGCTCTCCCGGGGCGGGGCGGGGGCGGGGGCGGGGGGTCCCTGTGTGTCCTTGGCTTCCAGTGGCATCACAAGTGTCAGGAAGAGTGAGAGTGGGAGAAACCTCGGTGGCTTCTGTGAAGGAGACAGGAACCTATGCAGCTATTTGATACCTCTGCTTATTTTTGTCTCCTTGACCAAACAGTTTCTGAGAGAGGTGTGTTAAATTGTCTATGATTAATTTATTTCTCCCAAAAGTTTTCTCAGTTATTTTATATATATATTTTTTCTTTTTTTGGTACCGGGGATGGAACTTGGGAACTTGCACTTGTGAACCACTGAGCTAAATCCCCAGCCCCGTTTTTTGAGACAGGGTCTTGCTATGTAGTTTAGGCTGGCCTTGAACTCACTACACAGCCCAGGCTGGTCTTAAACTCACGGTGATCTTCCTGTTTCAGCTTCCTGAGGGCTGGGATTATAGGTGTGCTCGAGTTGCTTTATGTAATTCAAGTTTATACTAGTAGGTGCTTTTATGTTCATAGTGTTTGCATTTTCTTGTATGGCCTTTCTTTGTCTTTTGTTTTTTTCATCCTGCATTCTTCTGTCAAATCTTAAAAATGACTTCCCTGATATTTCTTTAGGTTCATATTTGCCTGGTGTATTTTTTCCTACCTTTTGCTTTAAATATTTGAGAAATTTTTTTCTTTTAAATGTTCCTTTTGTATGCAATATATTGCTGCACATATTATTTTAAGAACTCAATCTGGCAACCTTTGTCTTTTAAAACATGTATTTACAGTGGCACCTGTTCACCAATGCTTTTGTTTGCAAACAGTTTGGTTTGCATACAGAAGCACTTGGCAAAATTTTGTTTCTGTTTGCACACTCGGCACTGGGTGACAAACATGACCATAGTCATCTTGCCACATAAGTACAAATATGGTTGTCTTTTCCAAAATCATAGAACAAATTAAGTTTATGAACCGAGACACCACTGTGCTTTGTTCATCTTTATTGTAATTACTATTATATTAGGACTTATTCTGCCATTTAATTTTATATTTTTAATATGATGGCCTTTTCAAATTGTCTTTTTAAATTTCCCTTTCTTAGTGTCTACAAGACACAGTCCACATTCTTATGTGTTTCCTCACAGTACTACAGATTGAAGCTAGGGCCTCGTGGATGCTAGAAGGTACTCTGGTGCTGAGCTACTTCTTCAACCCATTGTATTTTTTTTTAGACAGGGTCTCAGTAAATTGTTCAGAGTGGGCTGAACTCTCAGTCCTCCTGCCTCAGCCTCCTGGGTAGCTGGGATTACAGACGTGTACCTCTACACCTGTCCCTGAGAAATCTTTTAATGTAGGTCATTTTGTGGCAAACATTTTGAGGCCTTGTAGGTCCAAGAATATTTTTATTATCTTCAAATTTTAATGACTGTTTGCAAACCCACGGCCTCATGCTTGCTAGGCAAGTGCTCTACCACTGAGCTACATCCCCAGACCTGATCAATTTCTTTGATGGTTTTAGGTCTTCAGATTCTCTCTTTCTTAGTCAATGTTGGTCAGTTACATGTTTGTTTGTTTTTTTGCTGCAAAGCTGCCTATAATATGGAGTTTAAAAAATGTCAATCTCAGCTTTATCTCAGAGGAACTCAGTCTGGGTTAAGGTTATGGGCTTTCAAAGTAATTTTGCTTATGTCTTTGTCAAGTGCCCCAAGGTCATTACTAGTTTAGTGCTACTTTTTACTTGAGGTCTTGGCTGGAGATTTTCTCAAGCATACCAACCATGCACATGGAAATCTCAAATCTGCCTGAAGGCAGGCCTGTGGCTAAAATTTTTCGAAGAAAATGATTTTTCCTCATCCGGAGCCCAGGCCAGGACATACAAATGTCCATGTAATCATTCCCATGCTGCTGGAGGAAAATTTCCCGTGGGCTGTTCCCTCACTGGGGAGGAGCCCTCTGAGGGTTCTCACGGTCGGTCTGCAGAGGGCTTTCCAGCGGCTTAGAGACGTCAGAAACAGCTCTTCTCTCCACTGGCCTTGGGAAGCTGAAGCCCTGTTCCCAAACCTGTAACCGACGCCCCTCCCAAAGCCTGGGGCCGCATGCTCTCCTGCTTCCCGGTCTTCCTTCCCGTGCGCTTTGCCTTGCTAATTTCCTTTACTTTTCAGTGAGCTTAGCTACGAGTTTAAAAAAGTCTGTCAGGGTTACCCAGGTGGAAGTGGGAGTCTAGTCCTTTTTCCTTAACACAATAACTTCTTCAAGTACATCTGGGCTGTGTCGCATCTGGGCCATTTCTTTCCCTGGAACGCGGTATGCATGTTAGATCTGAGGAATGCGGGGCTTATTCTAAATTACATTATCTATCATCTTATACTCAGCTCTCTTCTTCAGGAAGGCCAAGCACATATGGTTAGGGTTTTCTAGTTTCCACACTTCTCATTTTTCCATAATATATTGCTATCTTCTTCCGTGTTTTTATTTTTTCTTTTTTTGGTGTATGGCTCTGGGGATCAAACCCAGGGCCTTGTGCACCTAGGCAAGTGCTCTACCACTGAGCCGTACCCTGTCCCATGTTTTCATTTCATTTTTATGATTTTCTTAAGCTTATCGGTTACATTTCTGATTTTGTTTTCCATTACATTTTTTTCTATTTTTAAAATATGGTCTTCAACTTTGTAATGTTTTAGTTTTTACCTTATATTTCTTTTCTCAAATCTGTTAATTCTCCCTTCACCTTGTTTCCCTCTCTCTCTCTCTCTCGCTCTATATATATATGGTTAATTTGCATTTAAAAATTTGTTTAAAACAATGCTCATCAGCTGGGCATGGTGGCATGTGTCACTGGGAGGCTGAAGCAGGAGGATTGCTTGATCCCAGAGTTTGAGGCCAACCTAGACAATATAGCGAGATCCTGTTTCAAAAAGAAAAAAAAGGTCATGATACCTAAGGATTTTTTTTAAAGATTATGGACAAATATTTGTTAGATTAGGGCTGGGCATTTAGCTCAGTGGCACTGCACTTGCCTTGCTAGTGCAAAGTCCTGAGTTCAATCCCTGGTACTGGAAAAAAAAATGCCAAGAAAAGAATACTCAAGGACATTGAGGCAGAATCTAACAAATAAACAAGTTAACAAAATATATTTATATATAATTTTTTTTCTGGTACCAGAAAAAGACAGCGGGGAGCTGTATCCAAGAGCCGCACTAGAGGACTGAAGGCAGGCGGCCGGCTTTGGAGCAGAAGGACCTGAGCTCTTCGTGAGGACTGGAGGCTGGGCCTCCAGGCGGTTACGCAGAGGGCACGATGCTGTGCAGAGGGAGAGGAGACAAGAAAGCTGGCATGGGCACAGCTTGGAGGGCCCTGGGAGCTTACCGGCTGGAGAGGGCCCAAGAGGCGCTGCCGCAGAAGGGCTGTGGGCAGAGCGGGCGGCAGGTTGGATTCTGCAGCCAGGCCACCTGGGCTCAAGCCGTGGCTTCCACTTCTCCTGAGCCTGCCTCCTGGCTGGTTTAACGCAGACAGCGCCACAGAGCAGGGTGGGTGGGGCTGAGGGGAGCAGGCACAGTGCTTAGCCGTGCCCGGGTCAGCAGCCTGCAGCGCCCTCCTCCTGGGGCACAGCTGCTCTGCAAAGAAGCTGGCAGGCTCAGCAGCGCATCCTCCCTCCCTGCGAGGGGCTGATTCCGACCCATCCTCAGGACTGGGAGGGGAGCTGGATAGGCCAGGGGTCGGCTCAGTTTCTTCCAGAAGGCAATCCCTCGAGAATCCAAGCAGAGCTGCAGGCTGGCGCATGGCTAGAGAGCCAGGTACTGGGTGTGGATAACCTGAGTGTTGACCAGCAAGCTGGAAGAGGGCGCCTGCCTCTCCCTCATAGCCACTCAGTTTTGTTTCTTATTATGAAAGGGGCATGGGGAGGTACTGAGCTATATCAAGCTAGGTCGTCACCGAATGGCACTATCTTTAAAGCTGGAGCTACATATTTTGCCAATTACAATGGGAGAAATATGGTTCTTTCTACCCTGGAAAATAATTAAGCAAACAAACAGACTTTCTTCATTTGAAATTTTCTTTTTTTTTTTTTTGAGACAGGGTTTCGCTATGCAGTTTAGGCCGACCTTGAACTCACTGTGTAGCCCAGACTGGCCTTAAACTGGCAGTGATCCTCTTGCCTCAGCCTCCTGAGGGCTGGGATTACAGGTGTGTGTCACCACCCCGGGTCTGTTGTTTCTTAAACTGTTAACCTTTCATACTAGCAGATGACAGAAAGAAGTCTGAAAAAATAAATTAACATTGACAGGGAAACCGGGAGTAGATTATTGCTTTTGTTTCAGTGGATGCGCTGGGTTTGATCAAGTTTGTGTTGCTGACTTGTAAAATGGACTCATCTTGGCTATGACATTGGTCCTGAGTGTACATCACGGTTTCCTCTCCTATTCTACATCTAACAACATTCACTGCTCACTGTGTACTTTCTGTGCTTTATTCCATTTGTCCTATGAGGCGGGCAGTGGTATCCCTGTGTTATAGAAGAGGAAAGTGAAGCTGGAGGGGTTAGCTCTTGTAGGATCCCACAGGGAGTGCCCTGACTGAGGGACTCACCTCCCTACTTCAGCAGGAGATGTGGACCGCAGGCTGGAGCATCTCATCCCCACTGCCAGTCATAGCCTCTTGTCTCCCTCATGACAGGAACCGCCCCATGGCAGAGGGTACATGAACCCAGCGAAGCCACTCAGGGATCCTCCCTGGGGTAAGAGCAAAGTGCACAGTAACTATTTAAACACAACATTTATTACAGTAAAAGATACACTGCCGTTAATCCCCCTTAGAATAGTCCACCTTGCTTCAAATGCATGTATCCCATAATTCTTACCATATTCTCCAGAGTTATGGAAATCATCTCCTGCCTTTTTTTTTGTACCGGGGATTGAACTCAGGACCTTGCTCTTTGAGGCAGGCGGCGGAACCACTGAGCTACATCGCCGGCCCTTGTGAGTGTCTCTATGAGGTGTGATAAAAATATGGTAAATGCTGCTGCTGAGTTCCACCCAGAAAGCCAGGCTCAGGAAACGTTAGGGTCTCGGCCTCGGGCGGGGCCACCCCTCTCCTCCCGCCCGGCCGGCTGACCCGGCAGCCCGGCCTTGTCCGCGCCGCCCTGCAGCCGGAACTGTGCGCGGCGCTGGCGACATGGTGGGCACCAGCAGCTGAGGAAATCGCCCCAGAGAGGATGTTGAGGCGCTGTGCCTGAAGAAGCGCTGCTTTATCCTGAGGAGCAGCCGGATGAGCGGGGACCCAGGTGTGCTGCAGGACCACAAGGTGAGCTCTCCAAAAGCCCCTGAGGATCATCAGCCTGGACTCTGGGCAGGTGGATGCAGGCCTGACCTCAACAAGGAGCAGCTGCAGGACAGTTCTGTGTTTGATCTTAAGACCAGCGAGCGGACCTTTTGCCCGGGGGCTGGGACAGAAGAGAACGTGAATACGTGGGTCCTGAGCATCAGCCAGGTCTGTGGCTTCAATCAGGCTGAGGAAACCATGAGCCCCAGAGAGACATCTCGGCCAGCCACGGCCCACGCTCTTCTCTAGCTGAGTGCAGCAGCCCCGTCAGCACCTGCTCCGAGAGGGAGAGGCCTCCGCTCCTCACACTCCAGCCAGCCATCTCTGTTCACCTTTGAGCCTCCTGTGTCAGACCACACGCAGCCCCTGCCCACCAGCGCCTCAGGAGTGCCTCAGCCTGCACCAGTGCATGAGCTAGAGAACGGAAAACGCTCAGGGCACGAGGCAGAAGTGACACAGCCGTGGGGAAACTTGCCCAGGGCAGTGGACACGTGTCCTCAGGGCCAGTGTCAAGGCCATGGCTTCTCCAGCCTTCCAAACCAAGCCGGCACAATGCAGAATTCAGAGACAGTACCTGTGACCTCCCCAGAGCCGGGCCTCCCAGGGCTGCACCAAGGGTAGCTCGCAGGGTCTGAGACGGATGACGAAGACTTGTACAGCTTCAAGACACCCAGCACACACTGGGCCGGGAGTTGGGGGACCTCCTGGTGCACAATATGGATGTTCCAACCACTGCACTCAGCCTGCCAGATCCCTAGGACATTCACGCTGGACAGGAACCACAACGCCATGACGGTGCCCGCTCCTGGGGATTCAGCTATAGCTCCCCTCCTCGGCCCTCCAAGCCAAGTCAGGCAGAACACCTCGTGGGGCAGCCCTCAGCAGAGACCCTCAATCAGTGAAAACAGATTTGTTGCTGCCGACATCCCCAGGCGCAACACGCTGCCAGCAATGGACAGCAGCCAACTCCACGAGTCCCTTCCTGTGAGACCTATGCACGCCCTCCCCTCAGAGGGGAGAGCAGGCCGGCGTGCTGAGTCCACGACTGAGGGAATCACTTCTTTCCTGCCAGGGAAAACGCTCGTAGGTCGATCGGACAGTACCAGTTCTGAAGGCACCTACGTGTCCATGAACCCAGGTCCTTCCACCCTGCTGGCCACGGAGCGGGCAGGAGACAATTCTCAGAGTGTCTACACCCTCATGAGCCCAGGGCCACATCCCTTCAACCCACTGGGCTACTCATCGACAGCCCTTCCCGTGCACGGAGGCCCTGGCCAAGGAAGAGAGATCCAGCCCCCCGCAGGCCAACGCAACCTCAAGCCCGACCGGAAGGCCAAGCCAGCACCACTCGGCCTGAGAAGCAGCGGCGTCATCAACATGCTCCCCTTCGAGTCCCCTGTCTCCAAGTCTTGGTCAGGGCCAACCACACCGTCACCTCCGGCCCTCCCAGTACAGCCGTTCCATCTCCACTCAGCACCACAAGCACGGACTCAGGAGACCGTGAGGACAGTTGCATCTCTGTGCAAACCCAGGGTCTGCATCTCCCGTTCCCAGTGGCACCAGCAGTCCCGCCCCTAAGAGGAGCACTGGCAGCGCTGATTGCCTGGCCCTGACGTCCAGCCGGGCTCCCCAGCCCCGCCGAAAGCTGTCCATGTCATCTGTCACTTCAGACGGAAAGGTGGACTCCGTCCAGGTGGAAAAAGAAGACCAGGCCCTGCAGAACAGCATGCAGGAGTGGACAGCTGTGCGGCAGTCCTCAGCCTTCCAGGGGCGCCAAGCTGTGACCCGGGGGCCACCAAGCCCCAGGGGAGACGCAGGCAGCGCCTCCGAACTGGCTTCTCCCTGGCTCCTGTCCCTCCGCTTTCACTCCACTGGCCGCTCTGGCCTCAGCGCTTTTGACATCAGGGACCCTCACGTCTCCCTCGGGCAGGGCGGGCCTGATGGGGCCTTTCCTCTGCCCTTGGGCCCACGTGGCTTACCAATACTGGCCGTGCCTCCACCCACCTTAGTGAGGAGCTGCTGCCAAAAAGCTTCTGCCTGTCCTCGAGACCCGACTGTCCGCCAGAAGCTTGGAGGGAGGACAGCACCGGGCCTCTGAGCCAGGCTCCACTCCTCACGTGGTCACAGCCCCAGATCCTTCCCTGCACCTTTGGGCTACCTCCCCTAAGTCCCGAGGGGGACAGGCCAGGGAGCCCAGGAGCAGCAGAGCAAAGTGGACTTGGACTTTTTAATCCCTGTTTTTCTTGACAGGGGAGAGGCAAGGCCACCCAAAGATGAAAAGGATGAAGGTCCGAGGTGGTCTTCAGGGACGAGAAGTGGATTCCCAGGTGCAGAAGGACAGTTGATACCTTCAGGGCTTCCCTATTCCAGGCCACGGCCATGCAGGGCCATTGCTGGGGAATGGGAGAGGCAAAAGAATGAAGGACAAGGGGCAGGGATTTAGCTCAGTGGTTCCGGCCTCTGCCTTGCAAGTGTAAGGTCCCGAGTTTGATCCCCGGTACCAAAAAAAGAATGAAGGGCAAAATGAAGGAAAACTTGATAATGATGAGCAGCCGAGAATGACAGGGCCGGGGCCTGGATTGCCAAGGGCGCTGCAGTCAGGCCCCCCTGACACAGCCTGATGACACCACCCTGGGACGGACGTTGTCATCTTCCTGAGCATCCCTCGGAGGCTGGGCTGAGCCAGTGGCTCACGGTGTGGGAAGCCAGCATGGTGAGAGCTGGGGGATGTCATGTGGATGCAGGTGACGCAGGGGCTGAGGGAAACTGGGATGGGGCCCTGGGAGTGGTGCAGTGCAGGATGGAGCAGCTGCTGTGTGGCAGGCGACCCGAGGGCCAGTTCTGGGACTGAGAGGATGGCAGGTAAAGCAGCACCACACCTAAGAGGCGGGGGTATGGCTGGCAGCTCCTGCCTGGCTCTGCAGAGGAACGCAGTGGGCCTGGTGTCAAGCCCAGGGTGTGCTCCCGGCTCCTCTTCCCTCCATCCCCTAGCATTGCAGCTCCTGTGTTAAACTCAAACTTGCCCATAAAGATGGCTTGAAAGGCCACCAGAGCAGCAGGCATAGGAGACAGGGCACCACCAGAGCTAGGGGGAGATCTGAATCTTTATGTAGAAAGTTCCTGACCAACTTTCCAGGTATTTCAGAGGCAACGGGCCAGACAAAACGTTTCAGTTTGCCCTGGGGTGAA